TTTTCCAACCAGAATATTATTTTTGTAAAATCACAGAAAATAACTTCTGTAAGAAGAAGAAAGAGAAAGGGAAACAAACGAAAAATTATGTAAACAGAATAATTCGAATCTGTCTTAAAATTGTTGAAACAATCTTATGTGTACAATAAATAAATTGACACACAATCAAACAAATAAAATAAATAACGTACCGAATTTTGGGAAGAAGGGTTGGGTGGATTTGGGTTATTTTAGTTACAAAAAGACAAAATAGGCTTTTTAGCCCAATAAGACAAAACATCACATTCAACCTATAATCATTACATTCTTTCTCTCATAAAAGGTCAAAAAAATCAAAAAAATTCTTCCCAAACAAGACTTTTTAGCTTTAGGCTAAAATAGTAAAAAAGTCAACTCACTTCCCAAATGAACCCTAAAATAGCCAACTTCCCAAACAAGGCCAGTCAGTCCCTAATTCTGGATGACTTTGGGATATTTTAACATTTGTTTTAAAGAAATTAGAGTAAATTATAATAAATTTTCTAAGAGTATAACTCATTTGTATTTTGCCAGTCTGAACTTTAAAACTTAATAGTTAATTTTATTAAAATATTATCTTATTACAGTTAACTTTTTTTTTTATAAAAATTCTGATAAAAATTCTATAAAAAATTTACCCCCCTAAAAAAAGATCATAAGTAAATCACATGACACATTTATTAAATTTTTATAACAATAATATATGTTACTGACTATTTTAGGAAATAATAATCTTATATGGTAATTTTATATTTGCTTTATCTCTCTTATCTTAGTGGTAAAGTTCAAACACGATCACCAGATAAGAGCATTATTGTGTTAAAAATTTAATAAATGTGTCATATACTTTACACATGATCTGATTTTCAGTAAATTTATAACATAATCGTTACAAAAATGGTTAATTGTAAGAAGATAAACTTTGAGAAAGTTAATTGTTGAGTTTTTAAAGATTAGAGTGCAAAATATAATTGTGTAATAGTTTAAGGGGGTTTTACTGTAATTTACCCAAGAAATTAGAAAAATTACAAAGATAAAAGTCGAGTAAATGACACTTATCTCTCTTAAGATTTGGAAAAAAAATACAATAAATTTTACAAATTTAACATAATTACATTAGACTCTTGTAAGATTTTAATTCATATAACAGTTGACTCTATTTTCATTATAAATTAATTATTCATATGAATGAAAAAATAATATTTATCGTCTTTTCTATATTAAAATATATATTTTATCTTATTTATTTTTACATTTTCATACTATCTACATTAGTTTTGATCATTTGAATCTTATTAAAAAAATCAATATAATTATATTAAAATTGTAAAACTTGTTGTATTTCTTCAAATCTTAATGGATGTCAATGTAATTTATCCATAAAATTTCTTGTTACTTTATTATTTAACAATTTATACATCTATTTAAAAAAAAAAAACAAATAAACAAAAATTCAAAGTTATAATATAAAAGAATAATAATAATTTTCAACCAATTACAGCACAGTATCAGTTAGGTTTCATTTAGGAAGAAGGGTTGGGTTGAGTTTGGAGCTATTTTAGTCACAAAAAAATAAAATAGGCTTTTTAGTTAAATAAAACAAAACATCATATCAAATCCATAATCATTACATTTTTTCTCTCACAAAAAGTCAAAAAAACCTTTCCCAAATGAAGCTTTTTAATCCTAAACTAAAATAACCAAAAAATTAAACACTCAAAAAGTCAACCAACTCCCAAACGAACCCTTAATATTCTTCTCTTTTTTTTTTTCATTTTTGTTTTGTCATTTATGGATAAGAACTTACTTGATTAAATCCACAATCCACAACAATTAACTCAAATTTTAAAATTTTAAATCTTCAGGTAAAATTAACAAACAATTAAATTCGAAGCTGAAAAAGTAAAATCTAAAATAGGGAACCTAAAAAGTTCAATCTCATAATAATAGAGTTGGCCGACGTAGCAGCACTAGGACCTTAGTATTAGGGGTTGTTTGGGGTGTCCTAAATAAGTGTACTTTCTATCTTTTTAGATTAAAAAATTGAGAAAAAAATATGGATGTTTGGATTAACTTTTTGACTTTTGATAGAAAAATGTGTATTAAAAATTTTATAAATTAGTGTGTAGAGAAAAATTAGGATTGGGAGTTGTGCATTCTTAATTTTTGACTTTTGATAAATAATGATAATTTTTAAATTTTTTAAATAAATTTTTTACTTTTTAACTTTTTTTTTACTTGTCATCAATAAACAAAGTAAAAAGTTACAAGCGTAGGAACAAAGCAAACTCACAATCAGCAAACCATAAATAAATGGAGAAATAATTTTTTTATTGTTATTATTCAACCCAGCTTTAACACAAGCAACAATGAAAACATTTTTTTATTAAACAAAACAAAAAGTTACTTTGAGCAATGATTTTTTTTTTTTTTTTTTCAGTTTGTGCATCTTCCAGATTTGATTTGCGATTGGGCGACGGCAATAGGGAGAAGAGGAGGGGACGGTGGCGAGCAACCAACGGCATGGCTGGATTGATGTGCTGGACGTGATGGCGCAGGGGTTGATCTGCGAAAGACGACGGCGACAGTAGAAGAGAGAAGAGAGATGGCGATGGGGATGAGAGGAAAGAGACGGCGAGCAAGGGGACAAGAGATGGTGGTGGTGACGGCGACGGGGATGAGAGAAGAGAGGGAGGTAGGCGAGATGTGAGAGAGAGAGAGAGAGAAGTGCGAGATAAGAGAGAGAAAGAGCTGGGTAGAGAGAGAGAGAAGGACCAAAGAGAGAGAGTGAGGATTTTTTAGTTTAATATGTGAGGGAATTTTTTATTTATTTTAAACATAATTTGTGGGCGAATACAGATTTGTACCGGTAGGGTCGGATTTAACCCGAACCCGATTCTGTATGTAAAAATAGACTTGCACCCGTCCTGTTTATGCATGCAAGTAGGATCGGAATTATGCGGGTAAGATCAATTTAAACAAGTTGCGTTCGGCGGATAAATCATTACCCACTCCTACTAAAATCACAACTACAATAAGTCATGATCAATCATTGACCCAAAAAAACAAAAAAAAAAATAACAAATTGAGCCCCACAACCACAATTAGTTGTTACTACAAACCACTTGAACCACAACCAAATATTACAAAACACCATAACTAATATATAGTACGTGTGTCATAAAATTTCCCTGATATGTAGGAGTCATCATTTGGCCATATGTCCACCGCCCAGACGATTCAATTCAGCCTGGTAGGATTTTACGTGATCCAAGTGTTTTGATAAATGATTAAGAGTTATTTTTTGATTTTTTTTAGTTTTTTTGTGAGAGAAGAAAATAGATTAAAAGCTGAGAAGTGACTTTTAACCCACTTCTCAAAATAGCCCTAAAGAGTTGACCCAGCCCATATAAAACTTGGGTTGAATTTGGGCCTAGGATTTCGAACCTGGCCTGCTTGTTGGCCTGGCCCGTTGAGCTAAACCGTACTCACATATACAAGCATATCTATCTCATACATTCGCCAACCTCCAGGACTTAAACATGCCTCAACTAAAACCCAGATTGCAAACAAAGGCTTAAAGTTCTATATATATACTTAAAGGCCAAGTATATTATGAAAGGTTTACGGAGATTCTACTATCCACATTTAATTTTTGTATCTGCGCAAGTTACAACATTTTATAATTTTAATATTATTTTGTACCATAATCAAGGCACTTTAGTCATAATCAAAGGAATTACAAAGATCATAATCAAATATTACTTGAGTCATAGTAAAAAACTACTTTGATCATAATTAAAAATTAGAAATGGTCACGGATTGATTCTGTATGGTTTGTGTACGAGGAGGAAATAATTCTCCTCGTATAATCCTGTTGATCAAGTCCACGCTCCTCCTTACGACGTTGCTTTATTACCTGAAAACACAAACGTGAGCTAGCCGGCGGGTGTGTGCCGGAAACCTCTCCGATGCCTAAGTCAGAAAACTTGACAAATAGACAAAGCTCTATGTTCTCAGAAAGAATTGTGTTCAATTACCTCCTCCAAGGTGGTGCTTGTGAGCTTTTATAGGTTTCGAATGGCATAATCCTAGTAGGACTTTTATTTCTCCATGCAGAGTCCTCTTAGGATTCATACTCCTAAGGATAATGCTTATCCTTTTACACCCTCCCCCACTGCTTAAACCAAGTGGGATGGTTTTTACCACGGCCGAACTTCTATGTGACCGAAATAACACTGGCTATGCTGAGCCACAGAGTAGGCCGAACTATCCTTAGTTCGGTTTTCTCCCGTTCAACCATGGTATGCTGAGACCAAGCTTCTGAGTAGCAAGCTCCGACCGATCTAACCACAATACACCGCAACCGGACTAACTTTGAGACCGGACTAACATCAAGTTACCTCCAGACCGGAGTAGCTTTATACCATCTTGGGCCGAAGCAATTACACCTCTCCTAACCGGAGTAACCATACCTCTCCTGGGCCGGAGTAACTATACTTCTTCTGGGCCGGAATATCATTACAGCCTTTTACTGAGTCCTTCACACTTTGGGCTATAAAGTCCATCTTACAGCTCGGTCCAATTCTCTCCAAAAATTACCCTCTCAGTTTGGATGTCGAGTTCGACCTGTCCCATGGGGTGCGGGTTGAAAAAAATGAAATCCTGTTCACCCGCAATGCAAGTTGCAGATTGTGCAAATGGGTCATGCGGTTGTACAGACAGTTACAGTGATTTGTGAATTAGATTTATTTTCTTTTTCTTTTTTTTTTGGAAATTTCATTCTTCAGCTTTGCTTTGGGGCTACCCCTTCTCAGACATTCTCTTGGGTCATAGAAAAACAAACATAAATATTTTGTTTTGCAATTTGAATATAAAGACATAAAAAACAAGAGAAATAATTTTTTTTATTATTATCATTCAACCAGCTTTAACACATTCAACAATGAAAACATTTTTTTTCATTAAATAAACAAAGTAAAAAGTTATAAGGGTGGGAATGAAGCAAACCCACAATCAGTAAATCATAAATAAATGAAGGAGAAATAATTTATTATTATTATTATTATTATTCAACTCAGCTTCAACACATATAACAATGAACACATTTTTTTTATTATTAATGATTTATTGAGATATTCTAAATAAGTGTATTTTTTATTTTTTTAAATTAAAAATTAAGAAAAAAAATATGAATATTTGAATTAATTTTTTAATTTTTTATAAAAAAATATATATTAAAAAATTATATAAATTAGTGTGTAAGAAAAAATTAAAATTGAAAATTATACTTTCTTAATTTTTGACTTTTGATAAATAATGATAATTTTTAAATTTTTTAAATAAATTTTTTACTTTTTAACTTTTTTTTTACTTGTCATCAATAAACAAAGTAAAAAGTTATAAGCGTAGGAACAAAGCAAAACTCACAATCAGCAAACCATAAATAAATGGAGAAATAATTTTTTTATTGTTATTATTCAACCCAGCTTTAACACAAGCAACAATGAAAACATTTTTTTATTAAATAAAACAAAAAGTTACTTTGAGCAATGATTTTTTTTTTTTTTTTTTTTCAGTTTGTACATCTTCCAGATTTGATTTGCGATTGGGCGACGGCAATAGGGAGAAGAGGAGGGAACGGTGGCGAGCAACCAACGGCATGGCTGGATTGATGTGCTGGACGTGATGGCGCAGGGGTTGATCTGCGATAGACGACGGCGACAGTAGAAGAGAGAAGAGAGATGGCGATGGGGATGAGAGGAAAGAGACGGCGAGCAAGGGGACAAGAGATGGTGGTGGTGACGGCGACGGGGATGAGAGAAGAGAGGGAGGTAGGCGAGATGTGAGAGAGAGAGAGAGAAGTGCGAGGTGGGCGAATACAGATTTGTACCGGTAGGGTCGGATTTAACCCGAACCCGATTCTGTATGTAAAAATAGACTTGCACCCGTCCTGTTTATGCATGCAAGTAGGATCGGAATTATGCGGGTAAGATCAATTTAAACAAGTTGTGTGAGTCGGATAAATCATTACCCACTCCTACTAAAATCACAACTACAATAAGTCATGATCAATCATTGACCCAAAAAAAACAAAAAAACGATTAACAAATTGAGCCCCACAACCACAATTAGTTGTTACTACAAACCACTTGAACCACAACCAAATATTACAAAACACCATAACTAATATATAGTACGTGTGTCATAAAATTTCCCTGATATGTAGGAGTCATCATTTGGCCATATGTCCACCGCCCAGACGATTCAATTCAGCCCGGTAGGATTTTACGTGATCCAAGTGTTTTGATAAATGATTAAGAGTTATTTTTTGATTTTTTTTAGTTTTTTTGTGAGAGAAGAAAATAGATTAAAAGCTGAGAAGTGACTTTTAACCCACTTCTCAAAATAGCCCTAAAGAGTTGACCCAGCCCATATAAAACTTGGGTTGAATTTGGGCCTAGGATTTCGAACCTGGCCTGCTTGTTGGCCTGGCCCGTTGAGCTAAACCGTACTCACATATACAAGCATATCTATCTCACACATTCGCCAACCTCCAGGACTTAAACATGCCTCAACTAAAACCCAGATTGCAAACAAAGGCTTAAAGTTTCAGGTTGATGGCATACATACACAATCTCAAACCCATATTAACACACAAATAGGATTCACCGTCACAAAATCTCAAACCCATATTAAGACAGAAATACGAATCACCGTCACAAAATGAAGCAGATATGTAATGTGCACATAGAATTACCAACGAAGACGTTCAAACTCACATACAACAATTGAAATCAGAATCTTATCTTTACAAATTTCAAGCATGCACATTTCTAGAGCTAGCTACATTTTCAGATTACAGTTCTATCCTAAAGGCTGACAACTTGTACTGCACGATAGCCAGCCCGAGTTTGTGGTCATTCTTAGGTAAGTGCAGCTACGACAGTTTTCCTCCCGCCTCGGCTTTCATGGGGCTAAGGAACTGGGCCCTAGCACTAAGGCTAGGAGACGATTCTTAACCAGCCATGAAATCGGAGCCGTTACGAGAAGAAGCCCCTTGGTTGGCTAAGAAACCGGAGCTGTTACGAGAAGATGCCCCGTGGCTGGTCAAGAAACGTACGACAACAGTAGTAATATTATCTGCACTACCTCTCTGGTATGCTTCCTGCATCAGCCTCTTTGCTGCCTCCTCTGGCTCATGGATCGGTTTAACCATTGCAACAGCTTCCTGGAGAAAGGTGATTATCTTGTTAAAGCAACTTTCTTTGACTTAAAAGGTACTGATCTTCCAGAGAATGTAAAGAACAAGTAATCCAATAACTTCATATACAGGTAATAGAAGGCTAGAAAATTTGTGCAAGACAATTTACGAGGCAGAGCATCAATAGGCATACAAAAATGAAAAAAAACAAAAATTTGAAAATTTGGCAAACCTCATTTGTTACAACATCCCATAGTCCATCACTTGCAAGAATAAGAAACTCGAGAGAGCTATCAACCTTTTCCTCCTGCAATTTTTATTCAAATGTCAACAATTCAAATAGGCTATTACAAAAAAGGTGATAGATGTTTGGAATGAAGAATGGCTGAGGGCCACTCTCTAAAGAAAACCCAAAGACTGCACCATGAATTGTATATTAGTTAGGGACTTTTAATAAACTGTCACTAATACATACTAAAAAAGTTCCTGTACTATATCTCTTAATGTGATGCTTACTCGGACAATTACAAAGGGTTCCCATGTGAAGTACTTGATACTAGTGGATTACACTAATAAGCGAAATACAAAATTTCAGTATTTCAACAAAATTCAACGGCTTCTCTAAATTATTTTCAGTTTGAAGGGAAGTAGTTTCAAAAGTAAATGCAAACATGTACATTATGTTACACAACACTTAAAAAATTGCTAACATAACCATATTCACTTCAAAGAGTATAACCACGTTGCGCAACGTGTGTGAATACGGGCATCGGAGACTACCTCTCACACTACTTTTCAGTAAGACAATAAAACTTAAAAAGAGATGGAGAAGGGAATTAGTTTCAAAAGCAAAAACACACATAACATGTAGGTGTGTTACAGACATTTCAAATGAGTAACATAACCTTTTTCCACAACTTGTGTATGGGCATCATACTACCTATGAGGCTATGACACTACTGTCGCCTATGCATCCATATGTGTCACAACAAAAGAAAAGAGGAGCCATACTTTCCTAATCAGCTTCTTTATCAGACAGATATTTTAGTAGTGAACCACCCAAAACAGACATGCTATGTTTAAAGGTACTTCGTTTTGACCTAGGGACCTCAACTCAGCAAAGCCTTTGTCCCAATTACTTGGAGCCGGTTATATGGATCCATTTCATCCAATTAATTCTATTCAAAATCGCATCCTCGGTTAAGTTTTAAGGTAGTTAAGTCCCTTCTAATCGCCTCAACCCATCTTCTTGTGAATCAAATCACTCCTCATATAGGCGCATTAATAGGTCTATGATGCACATAACCTTACTATTTGAAATGGCTTTCCCTCCCATTATATTCAATTGGTGTCACTTCTATCTTGTTCCTAACAGATTCATTTCATATTTTGTCTTCTTTTTTTCTTTTTTTTTTAACTCATCCACCGCAACATTCTTGTTTTAGCTACATTTGTTTTGACTGAGAGTACAGAAGATAAATGGCAATAATTGGTTGTGTCCTTGAAATTCAAATAATAGAAAAATAGCCACCCACAACCACACACACGCCCACGCCCACGCCCATATAACATTGTGTGTACATGTTGATCTATTTATGAAGTATAATAGTTATCAGTCATGAACGAAAACAACGCATCATTTAAATTCATGATATGTGTGGATCATGCTGGCATTTTTTTGAAAATGCACATTATTCACTCAATCAATCAATATCAACAATCAACCAGACCTGAATTTCTGGATCAGCAACAACAAATTGCTTCAAAAGCCGATCACCAAATGCACGAGAAACGGCAAGTACACCTCCAACTCTCCAAGTTCCTATTGAAAAAAATAACAGTCAAGCAACACCAGCAATTAATCACCAAAATGATTTTAGAATAGAAAACAGATACAGTTAAACCTATGATGTCTTTACCAGCCCACATTACAAACCCTCCAGCATCTTCAATCCGTTGTCGCTCATCTGTTTGGTCTGGCTTGTGATCTCGAGAAACAGCAATAGCTGCAGGAAATAACATAGCACCTTCAACACATGATCAAGGAAACCAGCAAGAAGCATAGCAAGTAAAACATACTTCAAGAAATTATTTTAACAACAAAATGATGAACAATCATTACATAATTGCACAGGTCATCACAAACAAGCCACATACATCAACCACATATTTTCTGCTGGAAAACAATCTCATGTTACTAAGTACCACATTAATGAAAGTAAGGAACCAAAAAATAAAATTCGATCCACCTTTCCTACTTGTTAACAAATTCATGAGACCACTTCATGACAATAATAAAAAAACAGAATGTACTGCAAAACCATAATTCAGGACCAAATTATTTAGGCAGCACTAAGAATAGATACAGGGTAAGCTCCAAAATGCAAATTTTCAACCAAAAGGCATCCTTTAAGTCCACTGAGTTTCTGGGAGGCAACCTACTTCAAATGTAATGTTGTCGAAATTCATACAGTTTACTTTTTTCCTTAATCATCAAAACTATATATGAACAAGTACAGAAAGGCAAAAAAAAGTTTACAAACCAAACCAAACCTAACCTAACTAAGCCTTGTGTCCCAATAAGATGAATAATGATTATGTTTTATAATTTGGAATCTTAACCACTCCTCCAAGTACCAAATGCCTTCCTAATTCTTTTAAGCTTCTTTTTTTTCTTTTTAAATGACCGAGAACTCCAACAGACCCACCCTGTTATCCAATACAAGGCTCTATGAATAAACTCCTGATACGCAATCCACAAACCATGCGTATCGAGAAGCCCAAGTGTTTTTCCCCCCAATGGGTTTCAAATATGAGAACTCCGAGAATTACCTCATAGCGGAGCTCCCATGTTCAACCGCTTACCCACAAGGCCACCCATGCAAGCCTTCTAAACTATCTTCCACTTCTCCCACTACTAACCAATTCCCTCGTACATTTATCCTACTATTTCAAATCCTACCAAAAGTGGCATGCTATTAAAATCCCCACTACATCTAAATAGTATAGGCATGTCCCATTAATTTTTTTCTCCTCAGGTATTTAATCCATCACATAACCACCCAAGTCTAGGACAACAAGATCATAATAATAAATTATACAAGAACAACAACAACAGCAACAAATAGCATATATCCAACAGAAAAACAAAATAGAACTTCATCTCTTTACTTGGGTATTAATATTGGAATAAGGGAACCCAACAATTGGAGAGAGAAAGAGAGAGAGAGCACAATGGAAACAACCTTAATCATACATAAGACAAAAGATACACTAACAATTGCCGACTTCTGAAAGAAACTATAAGATGCATTGTCTGTCAGAAGAACTAAAAAGCTAAAACACACACGCACACACGCACACAATCTCCTTGACATCCAGGCAAACATCCATCAATGCTCTATTAACATCAGTCTGCTAAGAAAAAGAGAGCTTTCAAATCTTACCATTTCCCCCCCGGCAAATAACAGCTCTGGAATCCCCAACATTTGCAACCAGCAAACGGTCACCAACAAGAATGGCAGTGGAAGCAGTTGATCCAGCATCTCTGTTCTGATTATTTTCTGATTTCAGAAATTCTGAGTCTGTATGACTGTATGCATCAGCTGCAAACAGGAAGAAATCCAGGTCAAAAATAATAACAATAATTAAATATGATAATTGTACAACATCAAGAAAGGAAACCATATTGTACTGCCAAGAGAGACAAACCTATGGCAGATTTGGTATCCGAAATAAACTTTGGATGCTTGATGAGATTGCTAAAAAGATTTTTTTTAACATATTCCGCAGCTCGAGCACCCCCATGACCTGAAACAGCCATAGAACACAAATATACAACATAACAAGAGGTACATAATGTGCTTATTAGCATATAAAAGACATCCATTCCAGATTTTCGTGAAACGTTAGAATAAAAACTAAATAAAGGTACACAACTACCTAAAGGAAGTCATCTATCTCTACAAAATAAAAAATCAATGAAACCTACGTTCAGATGGATAAAGCAAACTAACTGCTATTATAATACTTCGACAAAATGAAACTGGGGAAACATCTACACAAAAAAATAAAAAATGAATGGCTATTAGAAAGTGCAAAAATTGACCTTTCTATGATGAAGCCATAATCATTCATGTTGAAAAACAAATATAACTTATAATTATTCACATTTAGCAAACATAGTCTACTATGCATCAATAACATTATTTCTTCAAGGAAACCAAAGGTTATGTGGATGGCATAGAGAGAGAGAGAAATACACACCATCAAAAACTCCAAAGAGACCAACTATCTCTCCATCCACACCATCAATTCTTGTCTCATAAAAATCTTCCATTGTAGACCTTTTTCCAGGGGAGCTTGCATAACCATAGCTGAACTTTCCATTCTGACTGTTTTCAGGTGACAAATTAAGCACAATGTTAGACTCAGTCTTCTGCACTCTCATTTTTCGAAGAGAACTATAAACATTGCAAAGAAGTATAAATTCCTTCAATTACTAAAACCACAGTCACCATACAACATCAACAAAAACTTTTGAACCGATGCAGTATTTAAATTGATCACAAGCCAATGGGTGAATGCTTATGCAACCACCAGAAACATTTTTTTATAAAAGTAATCCATTTATTCAATCATTGAGAGAGAAAGAGAGAACAGACAACAGACGGACAGAGACAGAGACATATTTGCATGAGGAACTGTATGTAGAATCCTTTATCAGTACTTCAATATTGATGCATCAAAGATTTAGAAGAAGTAAAATAGGAATGAAACAACATATTTGCCAATATGCGTGGACATGTATGACCACAAGCAACCAGCAAAGAACGCAAACTGTTACTCACTCTAAATTAAATAACGCCAATTTATCATTCTCGGTGGATAGATGTTGACACCATAATAGGAAGATGATTGCATCATTGAATTTCATTCAGTCCATCAGCACAGAAGATCGTAGCAAAATTAACATAGAACTAAAGAAAGATTTATCAAGCTTAAGAAAACAAAGCCAAAAAAAAAAACATTGTCATAGAACTGATAAATCTGATCACCATGGAAATTCATCAAATAGCATACAAAACTTGCAACAATATGTCCTCAGGGGATATGTACTCGCTTAAACATCCATAAGTGTTCACTAACATGGATGAAAAGCTTATTGTAAACCAAAGCTTTAGTTTATCTGTGACTGGCATGAAAAATTAGAGACTAGTTTGCTATCTTAGCTAACTTTTAGCATTTAGTCAGGCCTTCTTCATTGAAAATCTCATTTCCAACTCAAACTTTTTAAATTTGTTAAAGTTGCATCAAATTCTCAACTAAAGAATCCTACAAGGATCAATACTAATGATTGACATGCAAATCAAGATCTATATGAACATATTAATAGATATTTATATTAATAGAGAGAGAGAGAGAGAGAGAGAGAGAGAGAGAGTAATTGTTACCTGAGACCACCACCGTTGACAGGTGCATCATCAGCATAAACTTGGCCAGCAGATGACAAAACCGAATTGAGATATCCCATAGTTATTGCTTGAGTTTTCTCTTCAAAGCCCCAAACCTTTACCTCCTTGAAATCAAAATCAAAATGATATGAATATACGTATATATATGTATTGACGAAATTGCCTATTGTTGGACGAAGACGAAGAAGAAGAATCACAATATCCACATCCAGGGACGGGCCTACAATACAGCCTATGGATTATCGAATCCAACCTGTAAAAACAACAAAATTCATTGCAAATAATTATATTATAAAAAGTGTAAAAACAGCAATAATTTCATATTCAAAACTCAAAAAACATAGCCGCAGATCTCTCTTCAATCCAATTACATGAATAGACAATTAAATTGGGGAAATTTTCAGAACTCGGAATCATCAAATCACAAATATATACAAACTCAACATCATATATATATATATATATATAGAGAGAGAGAGAGAGAGAGAGAGCACCTGGAGGAGGGAGTTGAAGGGGATGGAACGCCATGAGAGACAGCTTCTAGAGAGAGAAAAATTGAGAGAGAGGGGGTGGGGGGAAAGGGTTCTGTACCGATTTGTTTTCAGTTGGTTTTTTGTCTTCGGATTTGGTGAAAATGAAAAATGGAAATCAAATCCTCAAATCAAAATCCAATGAAAATTAAAAATTGGATTAAACAAATTGGTGATTAGATTAGATTGAACAAAAAAAAAAGATAGGGGTAGTTGGGTTGGGTTTTTTTGTTTAAGCCAAAAGACTCGGTCAAAAACCATAAATATAGATAGAAATTTATGCTGGGAAAATTATAGATTGAAAATTGAGATTTGATTAGGGGTGGACACGTGGTGGACATGCAGGAGAAGGTGCATCATGCTCTGCGGATGTACCTTACATTATTTTTTGGGTAGGTAATAATCATGATTAACATCCAAATTAGTGCGTTGACTTTTATTAAGGTGCTATTTTTTAAAAGGAAATTTTAAAAAAGTTCTGGAGGAGAAATAATTCTCCTCGTATTTTTTACCCTCCAATCCAATGCCTCCTTAGATATATATTTTTTAATATTTCGGGTTTGTGGTTTAATGTATAAAATTCAAGGAAAAAAAAATAGAAAACATTTTCTACAACTTTGGATTCGTTTGGCAAGTTAGTTTCAGGCTATTTTAGTCTCAAAAGATAAAATAGGCTATTTTAGTCGTAACAAACAAAACATCACATCCAACCCATAATTATTACACTCTTCCCTCACAAAAAAAATCAAAAAAATTAAAAAGTCAAAAAATCCTTTCCCAAACCAAGCTTTTTAGCCCAGGCTAAAATAGTCAAAAAAATTAAAAAGCCAAAAAACTAACCCAATTTCCAAACGGAGGCTTTATTTGGTTAAAACCTTAAAATAAACATTCTTTGTAGTGGTGGTGGTATGTTGCAATGAGGTGGTGGTATGTTGCAATGAGGTGGTGGTGCCAATAGCATGACCGTGGTAAAACATTTTTCTTTTGTCATACTATACATAAAAAAATATAAATAATATTTTTTTAAAATATTTTTCTGTCACGCAGAAACTTCAATTATATTGTTCACTGGTACATATTAATTCAGACAAACAAAGCTCCTGTAAATCATCACATCCACCTGAGTAATCCGGACGGTATGACATGCATACTTCAGGGAGTAATCACTCAACTTTCGGAGCCAAACTCAGATATATAATCTTTAAAATTGCATCAGACAAATATTTTCACTCAAATAAATAAATAGCTAGAGAAAAAAAAAAGGAGCAAATGAAGAATCCAACTAAATCATAAATTGACATGGCTTTTATTTTTCACCAACTTGTGAAGAATTCTAGCTATACAAATCCAAAAGGTCTCTGGAATTTTTCGGCTAAAATGTATCAATAAGGCTGAAATGATGTCAAATGTAAATTTGTGAACCTCGGGTTTCAATGTCATGCGGATTAGCATAGCAGTCCACACCTCCGGGGCCAACTTCACTGCATGCCGGAAAGATTTAAGCCCATTAACCACTCTCATCAGCATTGCATGTCCCTGCAAAACAACAACATTAATTCTCATAGTTGATCTCATGACAATATTACCAACTGAAATATGTTCAGTTGTGATTTTGTTCTTGTTTTTTCATTTTGGTGTTTTCAAAAACAAGATAATAAAAAGTTCGAAAACACCTAACGTTTTCATATAACACTTTAATTTTTGCATGAAAATAGTTTTTCGAAAACAACTTTTTTGGGTTTCTTAATTCATGTTTTGGCTCTCCTGCTTCTTTTAAACCACATCAAAATGATGTTCTATTATCTGTAAGTTGTAGAGTTTAACTAAAACATGCACCAGCACACGAGGGGGGAGAGAGAGAGATGGAGGAATTGAAACAAACCTCAGATTCAGATGTCTCTCTAGCTTGAACCGTCTCATCAAAAATGCTTGCAACTACTTCATCCTGAAGAAAAATATCAGCTGCTTTAATTATGTCCCGGACCAGGAAAACACGTACCCTCAAACCCTTATCAGACAATATGAATTTAAAAAGATCTTCGGTGGCAGACACAACAGCACGCATATCAAAGGATTTCCATTCCAATGGATTTGATGATTTTTCTTCACCAGTTGGCTCCGAAGCCTGTTGAGATATTGCTGCTATCTGAAACAAAATAGAGATGGTGTTTGCACATTATTTCATTCCTAAATACTATACATGAAGAGAGCATCAAAAGGGAATGCAACCAATATACCAGTCACACTTAAGGCAACACCAATTTACGATAACATTTTCTCCAAATCAAATAACCAATACTCCAGATCTTTTCATGAGTTGCATATCTCACAAAGAAAGCAACCTTTGGGAGGGAGCCCCAACGGTCCAATTGCCTCTCCAATGGAAAGTCACCCTCCTATCTCCAATCAGAGCTCCATACAAAGATTTCACCCCAAACCTCCCCTTCTTAGATACTACCCAATACAAAGAATTTTTACCCTCCAATCCAATGCCTCCTTAGCCCATTAAACAAATCGAATAGATTTGATGAGTAAAAAGTAAATATTATTAAAAGAAAAGCATCAAGACGATGCTAACAAATACACCTTCCACCAATCAAAACCTACTTCTAGACATAGAGAATCTATAAAATCCACACAAAAAAATTAAATTCCGAACCCACTCTCCCCAAAACCCAACAATGCAAAACCACCAAGACTTCCGAACTCATTGTAAAAGCTAGGTACCACAGCAGCTGAAGGTGATTTGAGCTAATACCTCACATCTTGCCCTCATGCAGATGTAATATAGAAGGGTAAATATAAAACTACATTGGCCTGATAGAGAACCAAAAGAGAAAAGAAAACAACACACCAGCCGTTCTAACCGATTCCACCTTATGGAGCCATCATTGCAGATAAGAAGTTCCCCCAGTATTTTCCTCATATCAGGATTTGGGTCTGCCAAAAGTCTCCCAATGACAAAAGGATATGCACTCTCAACAACTTTGAAATCAGGATCCAAAGCTTTTGCAGTCCCTTCAAGCGATCCCAGTGCTCTTATCACCAGGGCATAGTCTGGGGGGAGAGAGAAATTAAATTCATACATCACATCATATAGTTGGTTCATTATGGCCTGAAAAAAACACGAGAAACTAATTAAAATTTTGTACAATCCATTCAACAATTACTAGACAAGTTTTAATGTAGTGATATTAAGCATATGGGAAATAGGGTACCTTGTACTGATAAAAACTACAGGGCCTTACACTCATATAGGATTTTTGGACAAATTAAATTCTAATTGGATAGAATTATACAGTGATTTATATCTAAACTTGTTATTATAGGAAGTTATTAGGCATTGGTAAAACAAATTCACTTGAAATGTGACCATAAGCATGATAATTTCACGAGGATATATATTCCAGTACTGGTTCATACCTCTCTCATTGCGCCACTATAAGTAATAAGTTTTAATTGGAAAAATAATTGATAATGATTGATTTTTCCACAAGCTGTTAGAGAATGTGTAATTTAATTATTTTCATTGTCAACACACCCTTTTATGTGTGGCCAGACTTTTCCTCCTTGAGTGGGCTAAACAAGTGCAACTAGTATGATTATCAGACAGTGAGACTCAAACACAAGATCTTGATTGCTCTCATACCATGTTAACTTGCTAAACACCAACCCATCTAAAACCTTAAGTCGTTAGGGAGATGTCAAACAATGACAACTGCCTTTAACAAAAACGCCCCATCCTTTAAAGTTCTGCAAGAATTAATCTGTCATAACTCCACTTCCTGGGACCTGTAAAAAAATCCACCTCCTCCCCACTCCCAAAAAAACTCCCCAAATCAAAAGCCCCAGCAGATGGCCTCGCACCAGCATCAGCTTGTTCTGTAGAAACTAGAGAATTAGGATGTTAGGCTTCATTTTATACAGTTGTTAAATGGATCGTTCAGGTTGCACAGCTTCCTCATCCTTCTCAGCCTTTATATCCTTCTGATTTATATGCCTTCATGATTTTGCTCATTTTCTTTCTAAAAATTCAACTTGACCCAACATAGAGATCTATCAAATAGGTGGTGGTTCCAAGTTATTGACAAATACAAGACTGAATAACCTCCCAAACTTTACTTGCTAACTCATGCCCAATTGTTGGAGCATAAGACAGAAAGGGCAGCACAATAGCTGCTCTCGAAGCCCAAGAAAGACGCTTTTAACTAGTATTCATGTATAAGAATAACCCAGAATGCATTATATTAAGAAATAAAGCTGTCTCTCGGACTCAGAAAGTAATAATGAAAAATGTCCGGCCGAACAGCAGATTCCATAGCTGCCACAGTTGTCAGCAAGGATAAAATAATGTACTGTATGTACACAGCCAGGAAGAAAATAATACTGCAAACCTGAAAATCTCGGGATTGTCTTGTCCCATCGCCAAAGGATGCTTGCAAGGCATCTGAAACTGCTTGTGTATCAACCCCTTCAGGAATAAATCCCAGAGAAAGAAAATCATTTGCCAAACCCAGAGAGTCACGATTAACAAAGTGCACAAGCTGAAAGAAATAGAACTTATCAACAAATGCAGGATTTCATGCAAATTGCACAACTCACATAGAGAAAGAAAGAAAGAAGAGGAGCTTCATATGACTGGGCCCTACAAAAGATGGCTAAACTCATGGTCAATATGGTATTTTCAACTAGTAATAAACAGGGTGAGGGAGAGAGAGAGAGAGAGAGAGAGAAGTCGTAGATAGACAAGGAAAAAGAAATAGCACATCCAATCACACTAGTTGATTGATATCCCTAAAAGATGTCGAATCAAAATATAGAGAGGAAGTGTAGGAAGAACATGAGTACAATGGCACACCATAGCCAATGGCACATCATGACTTTCATGAAATAATCACTTAAATACTTCTTACCATGCGAATAAGTCCAACACGATAATGGCGTGGAATATCACCCATCATTCCAAAATCAAAATAAGCAAGAGATGCATCCTTAGTAGCAACAAGGTTTCCTGGATGAGGATCAGCATGGAAAAATCCCACCTCCAGCAGCTGCCTCAAAGAGCAGTACAATCCCTAATAAGCCAAATAAAAAAAAAGAAACATAAGAAAATTCTCTCCTAACTAATAAAAAGAAGACTAAACAAAGAAGAAGAAGAAGAAATTACAAATTACTAATGCAAATTTCACTGAGTTTACTGTTTAAACCTGGTCAATAAGTTTCTTGCGGTCTAAGAAGGCCTTCTTCAGGCCGATTTCATCTGTAAGCTTAATTCCATCAATCCATTCCATCGTGAGGACAGCTTTACGAGTAAAATTCCAGTATATCTTTGGGACTTTAACACAATTTGCATCCCTGTATTCAGTAGTATTGTCAACTGTACCTTCCGAATTCTTTTGATGATTATCTGCCGATCAAGATGCTTTAACTATCAGGATTTATACATGACAAATGTTAGGCATAATAGTAGGCCAAACAAAATTACCAGCAAGAACTGCAAATTCACATACACAAGCATGAGCTAACATCAAAAAGAAAAAAGAAAAAGCTTAATATGCATAACAGAGGAACAGAAAAAATAAACTCTAGAAGAATTGATAGTGCCCAGCATGCCATAATCCAGAATGAAAGGCTGGCATGGGAATCAAGTAAAACAAATTGTTATCAACATATGATGCACATCTTTTATGCACATTTATTGTATGTCGGAACATGTGTCCATGTCCATTACATGGCACTGCCACATCATCTCCACATGGTCACTTATAAATCATATGCATTCGTGCAAAAGTTACAAGGGGTATGAACTTACGGGAGTTGCAACTGTAGAGAGAAGCAAATCGCTCTGCATTTTGTCCCTCTAGAACGTAATCAATTTCTTCAAACATGTGTCTCACCTATTCATTCCAGTAGAACTTAAGGAATCAGCAATCAGGTATGGCAATCTGATCAAAGATAAAGGAGCTACACAAACAAAATGAACTGCAAATTCACTAATCAAACTTCTTGTAAATGCTATGTTTCCTCCACAGAGGCACATTAATCATTTTCTGTGCAACATATGTCCAGGGCCAAAAATAAAAATAAAAGGTGTGGCATATACCTTATGGAAGAAACCCTTTCTATGAACAATTATGAATTAGTGCACCATTTTTCTTCTGTTTAAAGGCCCAACACAGTCCTGCAATGTCTAATTGCAGTCTTGTGAATTGTCATTGATAGCAGCTCTAAACATTATGTAGTAACGTAGTATGGCAGGATTTTGACAGATGGAGCAAAGCATAATGTATGTTATTTTGTACAGGTAAACACGGCACTTCAAAATAAAAAATCCATGGAACTTATATTGAGGTATGAGCCATAAAACAATCCTGCAACAGTCAGGTGCTACACGGATTCTGAACATAACTGGAGCCCTAAGCAGTTTCAGAAGCCACCAACGGAGGAAACAGTAGGCCGGATACCAAGTTATCAAAAAAAAATGTAATTATTTAATGTCAGAATGCATAATATTTCCCATAACTAATTGGCAATTATATTTTGTCAACCCTCAATCAATAATAATACATCAGTTATTTTTACAGAAAGCATAAAGCAAGGATAATTATTAAAGCTAACATAATGCTGTACTAAACATAATGATAACACTAGCAATACTAACATAGACTACTAACATATTTTAACATATTTAATGTCAGAATGCATAATATTTCCCATAACTAATTGGCAATTATATTTTGTCAACCCATTTGTGATATCAGATACAGATTCATAGTGTGGTCAAACAGAGTTACTCTCAATAATAAGAACAGAAGCCACAAACATGACGTTTACCATTCATCAAATAGCCATGATATTTATCACTGATAATGCATAAGGCTCACCATCTCATTTACTGCTACTAATAGGTCCTTCCGAGCTTTGGCAAATCGCTTTAATTGGCCTCCAATCATATGAAATAACAAAGCATCAAGGGTCAATGATATTGACATACGAGGCCTTTGTACTTTAACAGCCACTAGCTCTCCAGAATGCAAGTGAGCTGCAAAACTTGAAGCAACAAGAGAAAACATTTGGTCTGAGTTTGAATCAAACATATAAATACCTCTCAGAAATCAATCCACAAGTTATACAAAACGCAATAAATCTCCATATTGAATTAAGCTGAGATATAGAACATTTTGTTTTTTTATCAGACATGTAGATCACTTGCAAGAAATCCAAATAGATGCTTAGAAAAGATAGTGGGACAGGAATAAAATATGTGATATACCCATCCACAGCATCAATTATCTAACCTTTATACACCTGTCCTAAGGATGCTGCAGCAATTGGCTCTGGGCTGATGTCTGCAAATATTTGTGAAACAGGAACACCCAATTGGGATTCTATAGATTTAATGGCAACATGAGTTGGAAATGGGGGTATTTGATCCTGGCACACATAGAAAAGTTCCAACTTTGAGAATCAAAAGAGAAAGGGAAACAGAACAGACCCCATTTGATGTGAGAGTGCTAGATGTTAGTAGTGTTCACAAGACATTCAAAAAGCTGGCCTAGGCTCATGTTAGACAAAGATGGCATACCTGCAACTTCGCAAGTTCTTGACAATATACAGTAGGAAGTATATCTGGTCTGGTGCTCAGAGCTTGTCCGAGCTGTAAGTGAATGTTAGATTAAAACAATGGAATTTCCTCGTGCAACTAAACAGCATGCCAGCACTTAAGGTATGTATCAGTAATCAATTTGTTGACAATCAGTTCAAATCTAACACACAGAATCTTTATAACAGTCGTGGACCAATACATTTAAAACCCAAGCAAGACAAAACAGATTTTGGGACATAAGTTTGCAGCCAGATGGGAGAACAGAACCACAAACTATTTGCATTGCACCCAGAGCCTGTTTTGCAAATAAGATACAGAAAATTGAACAGATGTACATTGAATACATTGCAACTTCTTTTTTTTTTTATGACAAGGAACCCCTCCAAGACAGGGACACCTTTGAGCCCACCCATGTCCTATTATTTTTTAGATTTTTTTAAATTAGCAAACACCCAGGGCAGGACATGAGCTAGGAGACGTGTGTAACAATCTAGGATCTTGGAAAGTTTAAAAGAAATGAAATGGGAACCAAAGATAACAATTAAGGGAGAGAATACTATGAACTTATACATATTAATTAGCTCTTTCGGCTTTTAATACTCGAAGCCCTTAGTCCTTGCAACTTACAATCTATTTGCAAATACTTGAAGCTTCTAAAAGTAAAATATAGGTTTTTTGTTCCCACTTCTTTCCCAACATACAAATGTAGAAAACAAATTATTTGTGGAGAAGGGAAACACTTAAGCTTTTCAAAACAAAAATGAATTTTGTGATGGCTGGCCTTACTTGGATTTCCTAGCCACATAAGTGTTACCACAAAATTCAAAATGTTCAGTCAGTACTCAGTATATCTAAATCTGTATGATAAAGTGAAACATAAAACTTTCTTTTTGTTTTTTATTTTCTTTCCTTTCTCCGTAGAAGATGTTTGTCCCTTTTAATTTTCACTACAATGAGCAATATGATCCACTCAAGCACTTCTTCAACACCAGCTAAAGGAATTTGAACATGAAATTGAAATTGAAACAAACCTGAACATCCAGAAAGAAACACATAGAAGACACACAAGTAGTATAACACATGTAATGTTTGTGTCCATATCCTAGAAATGGTTAAACTATTCAATTCTGCCACAACTGACTACAAATGTCAGAATAAGATAATACATCTAAAGGAAATTACATGCATATTAGAGTCTGCAATGTAAGGATGAAACATTAATATAAAAATTTTAAAAAATAAAAAAATCAAATCAAATTCACAGTTTGTAGGATACCAAATAACAATAAAGCAGCATTTCAGGAAAAGAAGATCAACTTGCCTTGATGTAAAAAGGTCCCAAGCTGATTAATGTCTCACGAAACTGCAATGAGTTGCATAGAGATATTGTAATATTAACAAAGTTTCATGAAAGTTTCCTATTTATTGAAAAATAAAATCAAAAAAAAAAAAGGGCTGCATAAGTAAAAAAGAATTGCAACAAACAACATAAATTTGATGCCTTTGATCAATTTGCATGCGCTATACAATCTACTATTGCAACTATATGAGGATTTTTTCCCGTGTTAGATTATGCATGGATGTTATTGAATCAAACAAGTTGAACATCAATATTTCAAATTCATGGTTGATTGACTGATACAGATTTTGTAATAATTAGATTGTGAGGCATGTCTCATTTAGAATTTACCATCAACTACCACCTCACCTACTCCACTAAACCTAACCCACTACACCACTACCACCTCACCTACTCCACTAAACCCACTACACCACTACCACCTCCACTTCACCTACTCCTTACCTACTACACACTCACCAAACATACATCAATCAATAATACATCAATTTATTTTACACATTGACTGCATTCTTAACTTCCATGGAAACTTTACAAATCATATAGTTACTTGACTGATTTTCCCCTTAAAATTAAAAATAATTTTTATGACAATTTAAAATTTTCTACTTTGTGAGTGGCAGCAATTAATCACCATTGCCCTCTATACTGTCCTTGGAGGCTTTACTTACCAAGATAGAAAATATAGAGTATGAAGGCACCAAAATAGCAATAATAAAAGAAAATAAGAAAGATAAAAACAAATGAAGAAAGAAAGAAGTTAGCTACAAATTACCTTAACTGACCGTTTTTTTATGTCATGAACAAAAAATTGCCAAACCGTTAGCTTCAACACATGGAATGAAATAATTGCAGCTCTATACAAAGCCAAAAATGGACCAAAGCGGTGGAACATTGAAACACTTTTGGAGCTGTAAGTTCCAAGTGCATGCCCAAATTCACTTTCTAGTGACTCCTTTCTCAACTTTGCATATTCAGCAGATGGCCTTCCACCATGCACACTGGTGAAGCCAGTAGAGAAGCTACACCAAAAGCACTATGTAAGTCATAGTGCAAAAATTATAAAAGGGTATGAGAAAGGAGTTCACTGAATGGTATGGATTAATCTTTCATTAAATTTTCATAGGAGAAATGCTTAGCATATCCATCATTTACAAAAAAAAAAACAAACAAACAAACAAACAGTGAAGATATTCCAAAGCAAAACTTGTACCATTTATAAATGCATCATGCAAAGGAATGCAGCAACATGGATAATTGTTCACTTACTGATTTCGATGTAACAAGTGTAACGGAATAATGTTATCATGCCTTCTTCCAATTTCTATAGTTTTCTGGCCCCCTATTGATAAGCATCTCCACAAAATGATCTCAACTGAACTATCATTGAGTGAAGCTGCAAGAAGAGCCCACATGGAAGTTAGGATAAAAAATGTAGCACAGAGAAAGACACAATACAAATTAGACCCGCTAACACAACAAATCAATTGAAAAAAATTAACATTGTTATACTGGAAAAATAACCAAACTAATCTCTATTAACTTAAAAAAAATTACATTGTCATACATAGGATTCTAGGCATTCCTAACCTGTGTTACATGGACTCTTCAAAATAAATCAAATACCCATGTCAGACACTCAACACTTGGACAAGGGTGTTGGATATGTGTCAGAAACTTTCTATCCAACACTTCGTATATTTTTGTGTTTAATACTATCATTATACTTATATATTTTGGCATAATTACTATAAACGAGTAAAATGCCTTTTTCACGTTGTATGTTGATATAACACCATTTTATCTCACACATTAGATTAAAAATATAAAAATATAACTCTTATTGTTGAGCCCGCATACCCTAAATTTATGATTTGATGGATCTGAGCTCTAGATACGCACCCACACCCGATGACACTAGTACCATAGTCCATGTAACATAATTTCTAACTCTAGAAAGACTAGGACTTTATATATCAAAATTTAGAGAAAGAGATTATTTGAGCTCAGATATGCTGACTTGCAAAAGAGTTCTTTGTTTTTCTCTGGTGTTTGTGTTTAGTTACAAGAAGTCCTGTGTGCCATTTTGCCTATCCCTGTTGGTACCTTTCTTGTGAAATACCTTGGGGTTCCACTCACCTCTACTAGATTGTCTTATAAAGACTACTTACAACTCAAAGAACGAATTCTTCCAAGAATTAGAAGCTGGTCCAATAAGCTGTTGTCCTTTAGTGGTTGATCACAGCTTGCTCAGTCCGTTGTATGGAGTATGCAGGTTTATTGGTGCCACCTTTCATCCTGCCTCAAAGTACTTTAAAGGAAATGGAAGGAGTGATTAGATCTTAAAAGAAAACTGGTGCTAACATTAGTCGGGGTTTTGTTTGCTCTCTGAAATTCGAAGGAGGCCTACGTTTCAAACCTCTCAAGCTTTGGAATAAAGCATCCAAGCTCAGACATTTGTGGGCCATTAGCAAGAAAACAAATACTCTTTTGGGTAAAACGGATCCATATGCTAGTTATTAAGCACAAAAACTTGTGGCATATGATGCTCCCTTAGGATTCTTCTTGGACAGTTAGGAAGTTTCAAATTAAGGGGTATTGCTAAGCCTCTATTTAGATATATGATTGGGGATGGATAACCAAACCAAATCAAGCCTTAATCTCATCAAATAGGGTCAGCTATATAAATTCTTCTTCTCCATTCGACTCTAACACTTTCATCTTCCGTCACTATGTCGCATCTCTTCACTACTGCCTCTGTTGGTCTCCATTGTATATGACTAAACCATCTCAATCTATTCTTCCTCAACTTATCTTCAATCGGTACTACTCTTACCCATTCTCGAATATACTCATTCCTATCTCTGTCTTTTCTAGTCTTGCCACATATTCACCTAAGCATCCCCGTCTCCGCAACACTCATCTTATCTATATGTTGTTTCTTAGTTGCCTCAACATTCCGTCCTATACAACATCACTGGTCTAATAGCCGTTCTATAGAACTTCTCTCTTAGTCTAGTGGGTACTCGTTTATCGCACAATACCCCAGACGCACTCCTCCACTTAAGCCACCCTGCCTTACTTCTATGGACCACATCCACTCCAATCTCCTCAGCCATTATAATAATTGATCCTAAATAATGAAAATGTTCACTCTTAGGTAGTGCTTGTTTCTCAATCTTCACTTCTCTTCTACTTCCATTGTTACTGTTACTAAAATTACGCTTCATGTACTATGTCTTAGTTCTACTTATCATAAATCTTTTAGATTCAAGTGCTTCTCTCCAAGTCTCCAATTTAGTGTTAATTCCTTCTCTAGTCTCATCCATTAACATGATATCATCTGTAAAAAACATACATTATGGCACATCATCCTAAATATTTCTTGTCAACTCATCCATAACTAAAGCAAAAAGATAAAGACTTAATGTTGATCCTTAGTGTAACCCTATAGTAATTGAAAATTCACTTGTCTCTCCAGCCGGCAATCTAATAGTGGTACCATACCTTTACACATATCCCTAATCACATCAATATAATATTTTGTCATCCATTTTCTTCTCTAACACCCACCAGATTATATCTCGAGATACTATCATATATTTTCTCAATATCGATAAAAACAATATGAATGGTTCTTTTCTCTATATTTTTCTATTACTCTACTCAAAAGATAGATCGCTTCCATTGTTGACCTAGCAGGCATAAATCCACATTGATTATCTGACACCTCTATTATATCTTGCAATCGACGTTCCATCGCTCTTTCCCACGCTTTCATTATATGACACATTAGCTTGATTCTGCTATAGTTATTGCAGTTCTAGACATCTCCTTTATTCTTATAGATTGGCACTAAGATACTCTTCCTCTACTTTTATGGAATTTCCCTAATCAACAAAATCTTACTAAATAACCTAGTCAACCAAACCACCTCTTCTTATCCAAACATTTTCAAGCTTCAATATGGATATCATCAGTTCCTAAAGCCTTATTCGATTTCATTTTAAATGTAATCTCCACTTCAAAGTTCCTAATCCTACAATAGAACCCGTAATCCTGATTTATTTTATTACTACTTACTTTCTCCCCTTTTGACCTACCTACATGTTCCTCATTTAACAACTTCTCAAAATAGTTCTTTCACCTCTCCTTAATCTCTTCGTCCTTCACCAACACCTTAAAGTTCTCACTCTTGATGTACTTAACCAGATTAAAGTATCTTGTTTTCCTCTTTCTTATTTTAGCAAGTTTGTATATACTCTTATCTCCCTCCTTACTATCTAGTCTAGTGTATCGGTTATCATAGTCTCTCTCACTACTTTTTTGCCCTCCTTATTAGCCAATTTATAGCTCTTAAGATTTGCCTCAATTCTATCATCCTGCCACTTTTTAAAGCACTCTTTCAACTGCCATATATCATGTTTGGATAGAGAAGAATGCAAGGATGTTTAGTGATAAAACTTCTGATGCCTGTTCTATCTTTAGAGCTATCGAGAAAGATTTAAGAGATATAATTTGTTCATGGACTGGGGTGGTTAATTTTCAACCTAATTGGGATGTTTGTCAAGCTTGGAATTTTGCATTGAAAATCTTGAGTAGCAGTAGTAGGAATTAGTTGGCTATTTTCTGGTTTTCTTGCTTATGGTTTTGCCTCTTCTTGGGCATGTAAATGCTGTGTTTCTGTTGTTTCTTGAATCAAAATTTAACCCTACCAAATATATATATATATATATATATGAGAAACCCACAAGAAGGGATGAGCCAAACACGACTAATCTTCGCTACGTTTGGTTTCAAGTGTTTCCACTTCAAAGAAACAAATACGACAGAAGGCATAAAATTCCCAATTCTGTTCCCATTCCCATCTCTTTTTCCTCTATTTTCTAAGTCAACAAACACGGATTTATGTTCCCATTCCCATCTCATTTTCCTCTATTTTCTAAACAAACAAACAGGGAGCCACAGGAAAATAAAATCCAATCTAAGTGAGCAGTTTCACTGATTAAAATGAAAATTAAAGCAAAAGATCATCGAAAATACAAATATTTAATTAATTGAAACAACAATTAATCAAACGAATTTAAGAGTAACACTAAAAAAAAAAAAAACACACTGAGACGCAGTGGAAGCGATAGGAAGGGTAAGAGATAGGTACCTCCTGCGGGAACTGAAAAACGATGGCGTTTCAGACCCGCGACGACATTCCTCATGAGGAGAGATTTTGAAAAACGAGAGCCTTGATAGATTTCACGAAGCCATTGAATGAAGCTTCAGAGACTGCATTGGGGTGTAAGAGCGATCAGCGTAAACGCTAACCAAGTGTTCGATGAAATGCGCAAGAGAGCAAGAGGAGCAATGTCTGATTGGAGGCGAGAAAAAAGATCTGGAGGCTTTAATGACTGACACGTTTGTGTCCACTTGGCGGCCCAAGAAGGACACCCAGTTTCCCCGGTCGAGTGTTTTCCAACCGGATCCCCGTAACTTTTTAAAATGATATTTGGAATAATTTAAATAAATGTATTTTTAAATATTTTTATAAAAAAATTATAAGAAAATAGAGGGATGATGAGTGTGTTTAGTTTGTGTTTTGAGATAAATTTTTAAAAATATCTTTTGGGAGAGAGTTTATAATTTTTTTTGTTTGTTTGGTTGTATATTTTGAAAATAGCTTTGGAGTTTTGGAGTTTAGAATGATTTGATATTTTGTTGTAGTTGAGTAGATGCGTGTGAGAGAAAAACAATTGAAAAGGAAAAAGCAGAAACAAAAAGTGATTGATTGATGTGTAGCAGAGAGAAAGTGATTTTGAATTTTTTTTTTTTTTTAAATTTGAACCAAACAAAATTTTATAATTTTTTTTCAAAAATTATATCTTGAGATACAAACCAAAAAAACCCGATGCGACCTAAATAAGGGTTTGTTTGGAAAGTGTTAGATTAGTATATTTTGTTGACTTTTTATAAAAAAAAAAAAAATATGAAATATGAATTGGACTTGAAGTGATGTGGTAAAGAGATGATGTGACTAAAATAAGATAATTGTGACTTAAATAAGATAATGAGCTAAAATAGCACATGCCAAACAACTACCAAGTATATATAGGTTATGCCAAACACCCTTTAAAGCCTTTATTTGGGGGACTCTATTTACACACCACATTTTTTCTCAAGACACACCATTAATTAATTTATTTTTTATTACAATTTTAACCTTAGGTGAAATGACTACAACACCATTTGTATAATTACCATAAATGATCGGACAAACTACTCTTGTTCAAAAGAAATGAACCGAACAAACTGCTCTTGTTCGATAGAAAATGAACCGGACAAACTACTCTTGTTCGAAAGTCAAGTGCCAAACTCCATATTGTTCGACAGAAATTGACCGAACATATGTTTGGGGTTCGAAATTCCAGTGTTGAACGGTTCAAAAACGAAATCATGTAAATACAAATTTCATGGCAATGGAAAAAACTACCTAAAACCTTACAACTAAGCCAAATGAGAACTCACCTACTGCATCTCTAATGTGAGTTGTCTCAAGCTGTGTTGAGCACCACCAACGACGTCTTTGATGAGGAAAAAAGTGTATTCAACAAATGGGTCTTCACCGTTTGAACAGAGAATGGAGGGAGAGATGGAATATCGTGGGTGGGTGAGGTGTGTGAGTGAGGGTAGAGATGGAAGATTGTGGGTAAATTTTGGATGGGGTGTGTGAGTGAGTGAGGATAAAGGTGGAAGGTTGTGTGTATTGAGTAAAATATAAATTTATTAAATTATTATAGGTGTGTCTTGAGTAATGGTTTGCCTTGAGATAAAATGTGGTGTGTGGATAGAGACACTCCTTTATTTGGGATGTGAGTTGATTTTTTGATATTTTAACTATTTTAACCTGGAGTTAAAAACTCTCGTTTGGGATGTATTTTTTGATTTTTATGAAAGAAAAAATAAAATGATTATAGTTTGAATGTGACATTTTATCTTATTGAGTTAAAAAGTATATTTTATTTTTTTGTGCTAAAATAATCCAAACCCAATGCAACCCAAACCTTACATGCCAAACGAACCTAAAGTCAACCTTTTTAATAATTAGTTTAAACTGATCGTGATTAACTACATTGACGGCTTTTTTCGTGTCCATAAAATTACGTGGACAGTTCAATTATGGATATTTGAGATGCAATTAAAAAAATATATATCTTCTAAATAATTTAGTCTATTAAAAAGTTGAAAAAACAACTTAAATTTTATACTCACAAAAAATATAAATTTGTTTTTAACGACTCTCTAAACACATTAATCATTTTTTATTTTGTAACAGAGAGTAAAAAAAAAATACTAAAAACTTCAAACTCAAATACAATTATAACAGCTCATTCATTTATTAATTTAACAACTTGACTCATGCCAAGTATCAATTTAACTCGTGAAGAAAAAATATTTTGTTATTATCACTATCTTCCGTTTGATTTAAATGTGAATTATAATTTATGAATGATACATTGTTAACGTCAATACATATATTAGTAGCTTTTTGAGTTTATATCATTTCCATTGTATGTTTAAAATACAAAAATGATTTTCAAGCTCAAAGTATTAATTAGTAAAAGCAAATGACAAATATTAAAATAAATAAGCAAATAGATCCTTAATTTTTGTACGCATCTTCTTATCATGCATCTTCTTATCATTCATTCCTAATGTTATTCCATCCCATTCACATTTAACCATCTATATGGTCCACACCACTACCTTATTTGACGGCAAGTTTGTTTAGAGTCCACATTTTTTCCCCAAATGATGGCATTGCAAGCAAAGTATCAGTTGTGAGCATGACAAGCAAAGCATCAAATATTGATCAAAGCACAAAGAAAAACATGAAAAGGTGGTCTCATATCGATTATAAAAGCATGCGGTATTAACTTAGGTGCTTTTTATTTTTATAATTAATTTTATTAAATAAAAAATTATAATAATAAAATATTTATAACTTAGATAATTGACCAAAAAATGTTAGAAATTTTAAATATTTTACTAATATTTTTATAACATGTCTTGTATAAGTATAAGATTCACACCATATAAATCTCATATGATGCCACACTTATATAAAATATTTGATAAAAATATTTATAAAACATTTAGGTCAATTTTGGCAAGTTGAAAAAAAGTCAAAAAATTATTCAAAAAGTTAAAAAGTTATTACTATTCACCAAAAATCAAAAATTACGGCTGCACAATTCTCAATCTTAATTTTTCCTTACACACTAATTTATACAATTTTCTAATACACATTTTTCCATAAAAATTTAAAAAGTTAATCCAAATATTCATATTTTTTTCCTCAATTTTTTAATTCAAAAAAATAAAAAATACACTTATTTAAAATACCCCAAACAACCCCTTAAAGTAATAGTATTGACAAAGGCCAAACAAAGAGTGGAATTTGATTTATTTTATTATTATTTTTTAAAAAAGTAATTTTCAATCGAATACCCCTCACATCCCTTGTCCCAAACGTGAATATGTGAAAAACCCTCTCTGGTTTGGAATATTTAAACCCTACCCTCTGGTCGCAGCAAGCTCTCCTCCCGCACAAAAATGGCGAATCAACAACAAATATCGACTCGGCCATGGATCCTCGAAGCTGTACCTTTAATGGTAGTCGTTCTAATAGCCGCTCACGTCTTGGCTCTGGTACTCAAAAACCCATTTTCTCTTGCTCTCGCATCTTAACATTTCATTATACAATCACTAACAGATGTCTGATTTGATTTATCTTCATATACATGTGCATATGTATACATGTGTGTAGGTTTATTGGATTTACAGGTTAGCTACTGAGAAGCAGCCTCAGAGAAGAAAGGAGCACTAGAACCAGTTCAATTTACAGTAACAGAAGGTAAAAGCCCTAATTCACTGATCCATTGTTCAACAAGTACTTAAATGTCGTTTACTGATATGGGTTTTATGCATTTATGTGATTTCAATACTTGCAATTAATTGCATTTGTCATCGTTTTAGGTGTGTGGCGGTTTTGACTGCTGTGAAATGTTGTTAGGGATTCTAGTACAAAAAACCATTTCCTTTTTGTTACTCCCTCCGTCCCAAAATAATGGTCCCTTTTGGGGAATCTAACTTTTTTTGGTAGTACAATTATTGTACTTTTAAAAAGTTAGTTTTTCAAAATTACCCTTTGATAGTACACTTTTTTGAGAATATCAATGTCATAATTGTACTTTTTATATTATTTATGAATTTAAAAGAAGGGCAAAATGGAAAATTTATATTATTTTTGTACTTGATTTTTGAAGAGGGACTAATATTTTGGGATAATGAAAAATGGAATAAGGGACTAATATTATGGGACAGAGGGAGTATAAAAAATAAAATAAAATAAAAGTGCAATTCCACAAAGATGGACAACTGAAAGTTATATGAAAACATTGCATTTGTCATTGTTTTAGGTGTGTGCTTTTAAATCTGTAAAATATATGATTTTGATTTAAAAGTATATATGTTGCTAGCTCTGTTATCAGAATCTTACGATTCGCGATTCGATTCACGATTCAATTCACAATTTTTGCAAAATCGATACGAATCTATAGGTGAATCTCTCTGTTATCAGAATCTTACGATTCGCGATTCGATTCACGATTCGATTCGAATTTTTTGCAAAATCGATACGAATTATGGGTGAATCTATTTTGGAAGTAAATCTCTAGTGAGTCGCATGATTCAATTCACTTTTTACGATTCACGTAATTTTTTAAATTATTGTGTCTGACATATTTTCAACTATTTCTTTCTTCATATTTTTAATGAAAATGACATAATACAACTTCTAATAGCGTTTAATACCAAAATAACCAACATATATACATAATTTGTTATTATTTTAGTGATCATGAAGTTTTTAATAGAATCCAATCAGATTCATTCAGATCCAATATATTTTTAACCTTTCTTCGCATTTTTTTCCCCCTTAAAAAATCATAATATATCTTTTAAAGATGTTTAACATTAAAGTTACACTATGAATTATCTATTGCTATTTTATTAAATTGAATATAATTGAATATTACATATGTGAGGTCAGTTATACCTTTGAAAATGTTTTAAGCTTTAAAATAAAATATTCTAAATAATTCTTTCTTATTATTTGTTCACTGTTACTTAGAAAAGTATGTATGCTTATTGTCCAAATATCAATATCGTTGTTAATTATTGTTACTTTGAAAATTGATAATTTGTCTATTTGATTATTATCTTTATTAAGAATGGTTAATAATAAATATCTAAAAAGAAAAAAAGTAAGATAGTGATCTTACATAAGAATTTTGTTAACTTATTACCTATTAAACTACGTGATTATCACTCAAAATAACATTTTCATTGATTTAAGTCTAGATATTTCATATTCATAAGATATATTTAACATCTAAATGGGTAAATATATATTTTTAAGTAATTTTAAAAAAGTGACCGAATCTTTACGATTCACGATTCGATTCGATTCGCGATTCGGTACAAGGTCATTTCGATTCACGATACGAATCTCGATTTGACAACTATGGTTGCTAGCCACCCAAGTGGTAAATACGTTGTTTCTTGGACTGAAGGTCTAGGGTTTGAATTTCATTCACCTCACTATATAATTTTGTGTTTTAAATAGGCTAGAATGGCATTTTCGGAAATGAAAATGTCACATTGTGTCAATACCATGGGAAGCCTTCACTTTATAATAGTAGATAGATAGATAGATAGATAATACTATATACAAAGCTTTGATTGCTCTTGCAGAAGGACAATACAAGGGCCTTTGACCTTATATTTTTTGGGGGTTTTTGCATTTGATTACGCCCAAGATCTCATCAAATGAACTGAGGTTAGCGTGGATGTAAGTTTTGTAATACCTTCATAATTCCTGTATTTTGCTTAAGAGAACTTAGGCTTTAGGCATGAGTGAAGGATAAGGCTTGTGCAAATGGTAGGGGTGAGCATGGTCCGGATTGGACCGGATTAGAGTAAAACCAGGACCAATCCGTTATCTACCGGATCCTGAAAAATTAGAACCAATCCAATTCCATTTAAATCGTGAAACCAATTCGAATCAATTAATTTAAACACGGATTGGATCGGTTTAGGACCACGGATTTACATAATTAAATAACAAAAAAATATATATAACACTTTAATTTCGTAAAAATATAAATATAGCACCATATTAGTTTCATAATAGCAACATGTCTTTTTATAATAGCGACAAACTGTTCTAGAATTTAAACAACTATAAGAAAATTAATTCCACCATAAGTATTTAAACCATTTAAAATTAACACTAAAAACTAGTAAACAAAAGTAATAAAAGAAGATACTATGCAAGTTTAGGTTTGGATTTAAGTTTTATATGAAATAAGAGAAGATACTATGCAGGAGGGTGTATAATAAAAATATAGACTATTTGTATACGGTCCGGATCGGTTCCAATCTGGAACCTTGGAGTTCAATCCGGAACCAATCCATGAATTACGAATTTTTAATTTTTCAATCCGAAACCAAATCACGGATTCAAAAAACCAATCCAAACCTACTGGATTGGACTGGACTAGATCGGATTACGGATTTTACGGATTCCTTACTCAGCCCTAGCAAATGGGGCCCTGAGGGGATGTGTTGTAACATCATGGTGTATCCTCGAGATGAGCACTTAATGCTACTTTTTTCCAATTTGATGCTAAAATGTGCTTAGCAGATTGTTTACAAAGGTGGAGTAGTTAAGTTGGAGGAGGGATTCTGATAGTGTGGATTCATGAATGGCATAAATTAGTAGTTTGCAAGCTTTATATACCTAAGGTTTGTGTATGTGAGAAAGCAAGCCTTGTTAACCAAAGGTGCAAGAGAAAAATTATATAGAATTGTATAAAAAGTTTTGGAGCTTAAGATAAAATGTTTTGTCACAACAAAATGAAGAAAGTAGAAAGAAAATGAAGTAATTTAAGGGATATGATATTCTATGGTTCAAAATCTCTTGAAATTTTTAATTTAAGAGATTATTGTTGCTACCCCGGTACCACAATATGGCGTGTCACATATTTTCTATTGCATACTTTGCATGACATCTGCACTGCTCAACCTTGTATTCCATACATGAGCACGTAACTAAAGCCCTATTTGGGAAGAGTTTTTTTGGCTACAATAGCCAATAAACAAAATGGCTAAACTAGCTACTAAGACAAAAATGTCACATCTTACACATCAATCAATCACTTTTTCTTTCACAACCATCTATTCAACTACAAAAAAACCCACAAATCATCTCAAACACAAATTTTTTTTTTCATCTCATAAAATAGTCAAAAAGCCAACTAAGATAGCCAATTTCTCAAACGAGGCCTACGATTGCATCTTATTATTATTATTATTATTATTATTATTATTATTATTTTGTGTGTTTACACCAAGGATCTACCTTAAGTCCTTATCTTTTTGCTTTAGTTATGGACGAGTTGACGATAAATATTCAGGATGACGTGCCATGGTGTATGCTTTTTGCAGACGATATTGTGTTAGTGGATGAGACTAGAGAAGGAGTTAACACAAAGTTGGAGATTTGGAGAAAAGCACTTGAATTTAAAGGATTTAGGATAAGCAAAACTAAGACATAGTATATGGAGTGTAATTTTGGTAACAGTCATAATGAAAGCAGAGGAGAAGTGAAGATTGAGAACCAAGAACTGCCTAAGAGTGAACATTTTCTCTAGTCTTTGTTTCTGAGACACTGCCTATTGTGAAATTTCTTCTCCAAGGGAAATGACTTGCTTATCAAGATTTGTTGCTCTGTATATTTGAAAGAGAAGCTGGTGGAGTAAGAAAGGAAGGAAACGTTTGTATGGAGATTGGTGGTAGATAGATAGGGTTTTGAGTAGGAGAGGGAAGGCAAGCAAAGGTTGGTTATGCTTTGCATGCAAGTCCAGGTTTTGAATCTTTGAAAAAAGCCTCCACAGTGAAGTAAGGTATCCTTGTCTTTCTCTTGGATCTCAATTTTCTGTTGTGTATTGCTTTGTCTGATCTTTTTGTATTCCTTATTCACAAGGTTTGCCTGTCCAAAGAAGAGTACATGAATTGAGGACCAAGATTCTTTTAGACTTTTTCCTTCTTTTTTTTTTAAATTTTTTTTAATTATTATTAAAATGCAACCTTTTCTTTGTGACCCTTTTAGCGGAGTTTCCTTCATTAGGCCTAGATTAATGTTGACTAGCGTTATAAATAGTGATATGAATCTACTTAATTTGACTAATGAAATGGCCTTTGATAGGGCCGCGTGGAGAAGAAGGATTCATGTAGCCGACCCCATTTGATGGGACTTAAGACTTGGTTTGGTTTGGTTTGGTTTTGGCAAACTACGTAGTATGCAGTATATAGTTATTTTGCCTCATGATGAATTATTCGAAGACACAATTTTGTAAGTACCAAATGGTAGTTGCTTGGTGAAAATTGTCACCTACATCCTTAGAAGATTGGTCAAATAGTTAATGTTTGAGGTTTTTGGTTATGGTGGCAATCATATAAAGATTATTTTATAGCTATGAAGCACAAACACATTGACACACCAAAATAGTTGTCATGACCGTTTCCAACACGTATTGGATACAAATTTGTCTGGAACGACTAGGCATGTGTCTTTTTGTATCTTTCTTTTTTTAACTATTTTTTTTGTTTTTGTTTTGGTCTAGATACGTTTGGGGCATGGGGGACACATGTCCCTTAATTTGACATGATCTTGACAAGATTGGGGTCTTGGTTGCAATTCTGAAAAGCAAATTAAAGTGGCAAAAATGAAAAACTAGAAAGTGTGGGAATAAAACTAAAAAGGGCAAATTATTGGCCTGATTGCTTGAAAGCCCTTTCATTCTCATGGAAATATATGAGACAAATGCATGCGTGTGTGTGAGTGTGTATGCGCGCGCGAAAGAGAGACAGAGAGGCTACTAGAGCTTCGATAGTTATTAACGAGGAATTAGCTAGCCACCAGTGACCTCCACCGGAGATGTTGAGTGGTAAATTGATGCATTTATTTTTGGTTTTCTGCTTATTCTTTAGACTTAAGGTGAATGTTTTAAGCTCAAGATTTTGGTATTGGATGGAGAAGATTTGAGGTTAATTGTGTTTAAACTTTTATATGTTCAATGATGCTTAAATTATTAGTTGAATGCTTTTTTTCATGTTGAATTACTATTATTTTTGGTAGTTTGTGCATGTTGTGTTTATGTACATAACAAAGAAAATATATATACAAGTGTGTTTTTTTTTTTTTTGCAGTATTCGATCTGGGTCTATACCCATGTCGTGTATGTGCTTCTTAGTTTTATATAGTCGTCAATACTTTACAGAGTGTAGAGTGGTGATCAAGCATACCTCTGCTACGAAGATGATTCTTCCATAGCTATCAGGAGCCTTTTAGTTACTCCGTTGTTATTTATTTATTTATTTTTTTAGCTATAAAACTTAGGGCGTCGGGTAAAATTTTGTCAATTTTATTTTAAAATTTTTAAAACATTTTCAGCTCAAATGCTAAAAAAATATTTTTAAAAAAACAACTTTTTGAAGTTGGGTCTGAGACTTTTTTAGCTAGCTTTATATATTTAGTTGCAAATAAGTTTTGCTAATCACCCTCTCTGTTGGGTAGAATGAGTTGAATGAGTTTTAGAGGTTTCTACAAGTTAATTAGATTTTCCTTAAACTTATAAATAGGCTCCATTGCTGTTAAATGGAATTAGCCTCCTTGATAGGAGTAAAATTCATATTTGATTGATAGATCTTGAGTTCTCTCTCCCCTTATTCTTTTATGTCTCTTGTTGCTGCTTCTGTGATTCTCCTCTCTTCTGTTTAGTTATTGATTTTGCTAATGACCTTCTCTATTCTTCTACTCCTTCCCTGTATCTTTTTCGTTATTATCTTATTTCTTCTCTGTATTTCTTTTTATTCATATATCGAAAGGATTACATCAGCAAGTTTATTCTGCCCACTATATCTTCAATGGAAGCGTCTTGAGAGACCATGCTGCATCAAATGCTTTCAAATTATGATACATATATTCTATCATATGCCCCCACATTGTGTGTTTAGTGGTATATTGATTGATTGATGGGAGTGTAATTGCCATTGCACCGACAATAATTCAGAAAGATTGGAATTAATTTCACATACAGAGTGCTAAATCAATTATATTGCTGCAGTTTCCCAAGTTTCTTTTGTTCTCTTCCTTTTGTTTGTTGATATTTTGTCATAGATGTGTTCGCCAATGGTATGCTTAGCTATTGAAGCAAGTGACAAAAAGATGACAATGCCTATTTGACTGAAAATTTTGTTTCATATGACATGCTTATATGAGTGAATGAAAGCCTCCAATGCTGTATGATGATAGAAATTGTTATTTTAATTGAGCTGGGGTTTTGAACTTGAACATGAAGAGGAAGGAGACCTTTATATTTTACCTAACTCACTTAGTTATTAGCGATATGTTCCTCAACGTTGTTAATTGGCAGTTTTTATTTAAGCTTCTTGTTTGGCAACATTACTTTTTAGCTTAAAAGTGAAAAAGTCACTAAAAAAATAAAAAGCCAATAACCTATATTAAAAAGTCAAAGATTTCATTTTCTCTCTATTTTTTGCACATATTTTTGTAAAAAACTAAAAAGTCATCTTAAACATACTATTTTTTTTATATATCATATTTTACTCAAAAAATCAAAAAGTTACTAAAAAAACTTATTCCCAAACTAGGCCTCTGGTTTCATCCTTGTAGATTTCATGCAAATGACATACCTGGCTTGACTATCTGCTTTCTATATCATAGTATTTAGTGTCTAAGCTTTACTTTTATGTCTATCTTCGACTTAAAAATGAGGCCAAATGAGATCTATGTTTTTCTTTAGCAGGGAATCTTCAATTCAACAGTAGTTTTGATGGTATACAAGGTTCTTATACAAGGTGGTGGTTCTATCTCTGCTTTTTTCATGGGCGGACACTTCTATGTCCAGTGATGAAATGTGCTTCGTGGCTGGGGATTTCTTGTACAACTTGATTAGATGAGATTTCTCTCTCTCTCTCTCTCTCTCTCTCTATCTCTCTCTGTTTGCCCTCCCCATTCTAGAACTGATGTTCTTGAAATGACATGATGAATTTGTAGTTCTCTCAAATTCTTCTTTTCTTTAGTTGGTGAATATTGTTTGAATATTTGAAAGGATGTTATTGGCGCTTGTGATTAGGAGTTTTTTTTGTTTTTTTGGTGGCATTTTTCCTAATCAAGAAAACCCGTCATTGTCTTGCCGTTGGTTGGTTGTCATTCGCCCGTTGGTCACGGATGATGTGATTCCAAAGAGAACTGAAGACACAGAAAGAGAAAGAGAGTAAAAAAGGGGGGGTAATTTCGTCATTTGGAAACAGATTTTCAGCTATTTGTACATTATTTTTGCATCATTCACCTAGTATTTCATTGATTTTATAATTAATTTCATTACTTTCTATTTTTCTATACTTAAAAAAATTAAAAAAAATTAAAAAAAAAATTGAAATTAGCGGACATATGATGTGTTTGGTTCAGCTTAAGAATACAGCTTATAGTTTTTTGTAAGTCAAAAATCAACTTAGTCTTTTAGTAAGGGAGGAGGAGAAGTTTAATTTATAAGTTAAAAATCAGTTTATGTTCACAGCTATAAGTTATAAATTGTTTAACTATAAATTATAATCACTTTTTCACAGCTCTACTGAATACTCTACTGAATACGTGAGAATTTCAAATAAAAGGTTTAGAGAATATAGAGACAGATATTGGACGGTGTTGAGGTGACACTCAACGTATGGATTTAAATGCCATGTGGCCTATCAATGCCGAAAGAGTGAATTTTGGTTAATGTCCAGTGACACAACACAATCTCTCTTGTGCGCCATTTTTTCTTTTGAATAATGCTTGGGATTTCCTTTTGGGGGTCACCCTCTCACCTCCCTTTGTCACGTGGCGGGTGGTGATTGGAGGAGCAGGAAAAAAAAGAAAAAGAAAAAGAAAATATAACCAATGAGAGAGAGAGGGGGTCAAAAGGGGTGAGGGGAAAAGGAGGATGAATCATTATTGTTTTTTTTTTTTGTTGGTTAATATCTTCGATTCTCACCATCAACGAAGTCAACCTATGGGCAAAAGTTCTCGTCGGTTCTTTGTTTTCTCCGGTTCATTTCACACTAAATAAATTCTTGTATTTTAAAATTAAATTTATCAATTTTTTATTAAACAAATATAATTTGAATTTATTATTTGACAAATTTTACAAAACGTATAATTGAAATGAGATTGGAATGAATCTATTGAACCCAACAATGGTGAATTACCAACTAAAAGAAAAACTTCTCTGAATCAATCTGTCAAACCTGGACATTTATTCAGCGTATGGATTTAAATGCCATGTGGCCTATCAATGCCAAAAGAGTGACTTTTGGTTAATGTCGAGTGACACAACACAATCTCTCTTGTGCGCCATTTTTTCTTTTGAATAATACTTGGGATCCCCTTTTGATGGTGATTGGAGGAGCAGGAAAAAAAAGAAAAAGAAAAAGAAAATATAACCAATGAGAGAGAGAGGGGGTCAAAAGGGGTGGGGGAAAAGGGGATGAATCATTATTGTTTTCTTTTTTTGTTGGTTAATATCTTCGATTCTCACCATCAACGAAGTCAACCTATGGGCAAAAGTTCTCGTCGGTTCTTTGTTTTCTCCGGTTCATTTCACACTAAATAAATTCTTGTATTTTAAAATTAAATTTATCAATTTTTTATTAAACAAATATAATTTGAATTTATTATTTGACAAATTTTACAAAACGTATAATTGAAATGAGATTGGAATGAATCTATTGAACCCAACAATGGTGAATTACCAACTAAAAGAAAAACTTCTCTGAATCAATCTGTCAAACCTGGACATTTATTTTTTAGTGGTGTTATTTTTAGAAAAAATTACAAATAAGTGTACATGATAAAAGATAATTACAAATAAATGGGATTACAACTATTTTTGTGTGAAAAATTACAACAAAAGTCGCAACTCAAACAGATTTTTCACTCTTTAATAAATATTTCTCTCATTTTTTGCTTAATGTTAATTTCCCTCTTATTTCTATTCTTTTGATGTATTAACGTTCATCTTTTTTATTTTTACTACATGATATTATTGTCATTTTATATAATTAAAATAAAAAGAGTATTATTTGTACAAACGTAAAGTGAAGATAGCTCCAATTTTTTCTTAAATAAAATGAAGATATAATTTCAATAGTGTTACAATCTCAGAAAAAATTAATTAGAAAAATACTTAGAATTTATCATCAATTGTCAATATTTACTTAGAGTGTAGCCCTACACCAAAGACTTCAAATTTTTACCATAAATCTAAAATTTTGATTAAATTTCTAGTAATTTTTATGGCACCACAGTTTTCCTATAATTTTGAGCTAGAAATTAGTTGGCAAAAGAGAAAAGGGCTCACATTTATTCAATGTCTATTGAACATTAACTTAAAGCCATGAATTCCATTGTATGTACCAATCAAAAAAAAGTAAATATATTAAAAAAAATTATAAATTTTTTATAGATGGGCCAAATACAATTTTAATTAATGAATAGAAATACGAGACATCATATCGTAGATAAAAATTAAAAATTGGAATAACTTATGCTTTCGTAAAGAATCTTTTTTGTTGTTATATAAATCAATTTTGGAGTTATATTATGCAAACCGTGCGTTGTTCTCCAACTCATCGTGACGGAGCTTCTAAGAGAGCGAGTGATACCGAAATTTAAGAGAGAAAAAAAAGGGAAAAAAAAAGTAGTGTGAGAGAGAGAGAGAGTGACAACAATGTGCCCGACGAAGCAGAAGCAAAAACTGAAGCATCGGAGCTCAGTCGTCACGGAAGACGCCAGACTCTTCTCCGGCAAAGACTCCGCCACCACCACTGCCGCCGCCAAAGCCTACTGGAGAGACGAAGCGATCAACGGTGGATCTCTCAAGCACGTGGACCTCAACAATGGATCCAACGGCTGGGCTTCACCACCAGGCGATCTCTTCTCTCTCCGAGGCGAAAACTACTTCTCGAAGAAGCAGAAGTCCCCCTCCGGCGCGTGGCTGTTACAGCCTGCCGGAGTTGACTGGCTCCGATCAGCGACTAAGCTCGATAACGTACTCGCCCGCCCAGACAACCGTGTCATGAACGCGCTGAGAAAGGCCCAATCACAAGGCGAGTATCTCAAAACCTTCGTACTCGCGGTCAATCTCCAAGTCCCCGGCCGAGACCAGCACAGCGCGGTGTTCTACTTCTCCACCGACGATCCGATCGTTTCCGGTTCGCTTCTCCAGCGGTTCGTCGATGGCGACAACTCGTTCCGGAACCAGCGGTTGAAGATCGTGAACCGGATCGTGAAAGGACCGTGGATCGTCAAAGCCACCGTAGGGAACTACTCGGCTTGTCTCCTCGGTAAAGCTCTGACGTGTAACTATCACAGAGGCTCGAACTACCTCGAGATTGACGTCGATATGGGGAGCTCGGCAATTGCGAGCGCCGTCTTGCACCTTGCATTGGGATACGTGACGGCGGTGACGGTGGACATGGGGTTTGTGGTGGAGGCGCAGGCAGAGGATGAGCTGCCGGAGAGGCTGTTGGGTGCGGTTAGGGTTTGTCAAATGGAGATGTCGTCAGCAACTTTCATTGATACGACGTCGTCTACAAAACTTGGGCCTTCGAAAATCAATAATTATCAGAATCAGAGTAGGGTTCGGGCCTCCAAATCTGAGGGCGATGATGAGGATGATTGAGAAAGAATATCTCTGGTAATTTTTTTTTTTTTTATTTTAAAGTTACTGTAATGGTTTAATTTTCAATTTTTGTAGGGGGTTGGTGGAATGTGATTTTGCTTTCTATCACCTCTTTTTTGTCATAGGGATTGATGGTTGTAGATAGAGATAAAAATAACTGTTGTCTCTTGTCTAGAATTTTAATTGCACTTTGAGACTTTCACAACTATATTGGCTCTTTTCCTCTTGCTTCAAAAATAATTTGTTGTTAAATGTATTTTTAGAATTCTAACCACAATTGAATTTTATGGACAAAATGCGACTTACAATCCAACAACTTTAAATATACATTAGTAAAATTATGATAAAATTTTCACGGTAAACTATATTACAAGCATGCTATGAAGTTTTAACTTTTGTGCTGGATTGCTTCATAGATTCCTTCCGCAATAAAGCTAGCTACGTATCTCGAATTCCAAAAGTATGAAATTTTATGTTGTACTACTAATCTCATGACAGATGGCTTATGTGTCAATATGAATTTGGTGCGTTTAGTTAGACCATCTCCAATGGTTCACCAAAACTGATATCAAATTTAAATTTTGATGAAAAAGTTATTATTCACTGCTCCAATGGTTGCACCAAATGAATATCAGATTGAGATTTCATCAAACAATTCATCAAACTGACGACGAAATACTGATTTCACCAAAACACTATTGGTGACCGTTGGAGGGAGGACCCGGCCGACCAACCGGTCGATCGAATTCCTTTGAAATTGATAGGTTCAAACCGGTCAAAAAAGGTTCAAACAGGTAAAAAAAAAAATTTATTTTTGCTTTACGGGTTGACCGGCCGGTCAACCAACCGGTCGACCCAAACATCTGCACTTTATTCAATTGATGAATCTCTGAGAATGGAAGCTGCAAATATGAAGCTAGACATGTTTATATCATGACAATTGTTTAATCATACATTCATCTGAAGCTGGACATGTTTACATCATGACATGTTTACATCATGACATCGTGACAAGCTGCAATTGTTTACAAATATGAATCTGCAAATATGAATCTATGAAAGCTGAAATTGCATACATCATGACAACCCAATTGAAACAATTGGTGGGTTTTCATCATTTGAAACAATTTCAGAAATAGGTCGACTCACTAGCAAACATCTTTACAGAAAGCTGCAATTGTTTTATCATTGAAATATTCTAAAAAACATAGCGTTGAAACGTAGCGTTCCAAAAAAAATATTTACGCTTAACGGTCAACCCATCGGTCGATCAACCGGTTGACCCATGAGATTTGATACGGGATTTGATGCACCGTTGGAGCGAGTGGTATCAAATTTGATGAAATGGGTCATTTTTGACTCAGATTTGGTGAAAAATCTAATTCACCGTTGGAGATGCTCTTAGAGGCTTTGATATGTAATTCTATTTTTTGTTTGTTTATAATAAAAAGTGAGAAGGAAATGCAACCTTCCTCCTCCTCCTTTTTCTTTTTCTTTTTTTTTTTTTTTTTTTTTTTTTTTTTTTTTTTTTTTTTTTTTTTTTCAGATTCACGTAGCCTTTTTTCTTCATTTCCCAATTCAACCAACATAGTTTAGTTTGGAATTCAAATCTTACTAATTCTTTCTTATTTTCCTTTTATTTTCCTTTCTCTTTTCCTTTTCATTTCCTTCAGCAAATTCTCAAATGGAACATTGCTTACATTATTTTTGGTTGAGGGATTTGAGAAGAGTTTTTAAAAAAAAAAATGAAGAAAAAAATGTGTGAAATTAGTTAAAATATAGATATATTTTATTTATATTTTATCTATTTTTTTTTCTTTCCGTTTTCAAATTCCTTCTCAAATTCTTCAATATAGTTCAGAGAATTTTTAGACAAATTATGCTAATAGTACTTATAATTTATTTTTTGTGTTATTTTAGTCCATCTATTTTCATTTTGCTTAATTTTAATTTTAGATTTATGTCTAATTAGAGTTTTTGAAAAAGAAAAGAAAAGAGTGTATGTGAATGACACGACGTGTTTTCAAGAGCAAAATGGTACATCGGCCCATAACCCATCCAACTTAGAGAGTTACTTTGAATTAACTCACTCAAAACTATAATGTATAGAGAGAAAGAGAGAGAGATTAGGGGAAGACGCGGCTAGTGTAGGGGCTGGGAAAGGGCGACGCTGGCAAGGCAGAGGTGATTGAAGATCATTGGGGAGGGGCCGTGATGGTGAGACAAAGATGATTGGCAGATGTGATGACAAAAGATTGATCTTCCTTGGGAGAATTATACTGTGTCAGTGAAAAATATTTATAAATAAGTAGAAAATATTATAAATATAAATAATTTAAAATTATAAATTTTACCCACACAAAAAAAATTATATATATATATATATATATAATTTTATATATATAATTTTTTTACTTTTAAAAAATGATTACAATTTCATGTTAAAAATTATAATTTTAATAATTAACAGGGTAAAATCTATTTTACCTTATTGTAGTATTGTCTTGGAGTATTTAACCTCCCTTACATTTGAAAATAGCTAAAACCTCTCTTACATTTTAGACTAAACAGTAATACTAAAATCCAACCCCTCATAGATGACGGTACCACCAGTGGGCATAGTCAGGCTTACACTCTTGGTATCAATGCAACCATCATTAGTCACACCAGTAGCGGCAGAGCAAGACTCAACTTCATACTCCACCTGTATCAAAGAAAGTTCAGCTTCGTATCTACAAAGACAAACCAAAGAACAATACAAATATGGTTTTCCAATTAAATTCATCATTCTTATCCCACTTCGTTGTGTTATTGCTACTACTTGACTTCTAAGTAACCCTTACACTTGCTTGCCTATATTACATGGACTAGGTATGAGTATCGGGTGTGAGTGTGTATCCAAGTGTCAGATCTTCAAAAATTTAAATTTTCGGATTTTGGGATACATATCCAAAATTAGATATGGATACGGGGGAGGCATCATATACACATATATTCTCGAATGAAATGTTATAAATTATATATAAAGTATACTTGAAATTGAATAGGATTCAAGAAAAATATGAAATTTCGTTATCTAATTCTTGTGAGAGGCTAAAAATATTTGTTTGGTTTCAATTTTTTTATTTCAATTTTTTGAAAATTGAGTTTTTTGTTTTCTGTGTTTTCAGTTTGAGATGAAGGACCTTGGTACTCTTAACTACTTCTTAGGCCTTGAAGTCTCTCATGATTCTACTGGTTCCTATTTGTCCCAGGCCAAATATGCATCCGATCTTCTGGCTCGTGCTGGTCTTACTGATTGCAAAACTGCCTCTACTCCGGTTGATCCTCAGATTCGTCTCACTCCTCTCGATGGCACTCTTCTCTCTGATGCTACTCTTTATCGCCAGCTCGTCGGCAGTCTTGTCTATCTCACAGTCACTCGTCCTGACATTGCCTATGCTGTTCACATTGTCAGTCAGTACATGTCGGCTCCTCGCACTCCCCACTATACTGCTCTACTCCGCATCCTTCGCTACCTCAAAGGCACTATGTTCCATGGTCTTCACTTCTCGGCTTCTTCCTCTCTTGACCTACGTGCCTTTTCCGATGCTGATTGGGCTGGGGATCCTACGGATCGACGCTCCACCACGGGATTCTGCTTCTTCTTAGGGGATTCTCTTCTTGCTTGGCGTAGTAAAAAACAATCTCTCACTGCCCGCTCTAGCACCGAAGCTGAATACCGAGCTCTTGCTGATACTACTCAGGAACTTCTGTGGCTTCGTTGGCTCCTTGCTGATATGGGAGTTTCTTCATCTACTCCTACCCCTCTCTACTGTGACAATCGGAGTGCTATTCAGATTGCTCACAATTATGTTTTTCATGATCGCACCAAACATATTGAGATTGATTGTCATTTCATTCGCCAACATGTTACTTGTGGAACGATTCATCTTCTTCCTATTGCTTCAGTCGATCAACCCACTGATATCTTCACTAAGGCTCATCCTCCTGGCCGCTTTAATGATCTTGTTTCCAAACTCAACTTGGTTGATGCTTTCCCTCCTTGAGTTTGCGGGGGGCTGTTAATATAATTGTTAATTAGTATATAGTTGTTAATTGAATAACTTTAGCTTTAGTATAATTGTTAATTGTATAGGTTTATGCTTTCCTTTATGCTTTCGGTGGTAGTGGGTCATTTGGTATCCAATGTAACCTTTCCTCTCTCTATAAAGAGAGAGTTCATTACTCCTTGTAATTAAGACATACAATACAGAAACATCTTGCTCTCTAGCTTCTCTCACTCTCTCAAACTAATCTTTCAATTGCTCTCTAGCTTCTCTCACTCTCTCAAACTAATCTTTCACTGGGGTTGTGAGAAAAGGAGTTAGGGAGGTTGTAGTGCTTAGTAGCAGTGTGGTGGGGTTGAGTGGAGGCGGAGGTGAACCATTTTGCATACATGGAAGAGAAAAATGCTAGGATTGAAATTTTTCTTTTTGCCATTGGAAAGTGGTCATACGTTCTTATCACTGTTTTTGGTTGAAAATCTTATCGATTGGAACTATTCATACAAAATTTAAAATTTAAAATTAAATATAAATTAAAAATTAAACAAATTATAATCAAAATGACACATGAACAAATATAGGAAGTACTAGTTAATTTGCCCAAGAAATGTTGTGTGAGATATTGGTGTCTTGTGCGGCCCACAGCGGGCTCACTAGTGCCGTTACTTTTCTCTACATGGTTTTAAATAGTGTTTTTTCTGCCTAAAAGTTATGTTGATACAATCATTAAATTTGGGTAATAAAATTTGAAGGAGAATTGTAAAGAAAAATGTGTGAATTACATACATCTTCATTTGAATTGGATTTGAAAAATCATAATTCTTCGTTGTCAACGTCACTTTACACACTGAGTAATTAAAATTAGGAAAAAAATAAATACAAATAATTCAAAAGGTTTCATACGCAATTAAAATAATAATAATAATAATAATGCTATATGTATTAATTAGTGTGTTAACTAATGTATTAATTGATGATATAATATAATTTAAGAGGTTTTTGATATTTATAATATAATGAGTAGGATTAATAATAATGTCATAACTAGTGTTAGTACACTAGTTAGTGCACAAATTGGTGTATGTAGCATCATCAGAAAAAAATTATTGCCTAAATATGTTTATGTATATGGTGATACTACCTTCACCAAATAGTGTACTAG